TATAATATATATTATCAACTTTAAAGAATTACTTCATCTTTTTTTTCTTATCTTAATTTATTCTATCATACTCTTTTTAATATTGCTAAATAATGTATTTATTGTTTATAACTTTATCAATTTTCTCATGCAAATTAAATGGAAAGTATCATCAATTCTTCTTTTATTTGTTTCGCATTCGGTTGCATTTATTGTATTTACATTATTTTCATCCATAATTCCATAGATTGATGTAAGTATATCCTGGGATACGCCTTATTTTTTCGTAGTTCATCTTTCTTAACGTCTTATCTTCTTTATCCAATCCCAACTACTGGCCATTGCATATCTAAACGAACTTCTTTTGAGGGTTTTCCATATCTTAATTTGGCTCTATTTTTTAAACCATAATGATAAATTGCTCTATTTTACCAAGGAAGTACATATAAAATACATAATTTTGTTAACGTTCTGAAGTGAAGGGATGATCTTTCTAATCATTGCAAATTATCTTGATTTTGTAAGCACAGCTTTTCTCATTCACCTATATAATTCGATTATATTTCCCTTGATGTTAATAGTGACTCTAAGATTTGAAATTATCCACTTTTTCTATTCAAATTTCCTCCAGTGATAAATTTCTTTTGTTAGCGATGTATTTGGTTTTTTTAAAGTTGATGCTTAGGTTTCCTTTACCACATATTTCAATGAAGAGTTTAGTACATATTCTAATTACTTCTTGATTAACTATGATAGCAATGTCTTCAGCATAGGCTAAGACTTAGACTTTGGCAATAATTTTTTTTTGCTAGTTAACCTACTTCTTATTTTCATCTTCTATTCCTCAAGGGCATCTCGAAAGATACAATAACAGTAGTGGAAGAATATAACGTTTAAAAAGGGATCAAGATTGACCATTAAGATAATCCATTTTTAAACCATAAATTTTCCTTTGTTATGGGGTCAAAATAAAACTCCTTTGTCTGCATTTGGAAAAAAAGAATGTCATATTTTTCTTATTACTCTTTCTCTTCAATTTCATGAGGAAACTATATAATTGAACCAATGTTGAAAAATTCATCTTAGTTATTTACTATTTTTTATAAAAGAATTTCCTTAAAATAACCACATAGCCCCATTCTATAAAATTGACAGTGTAATTCTACATCATTTTTGGTCGCATTATCACAAATTTGAGTTATAATAGGTATATTTTTATTAAGAGGGATCAATATCTTTGCCGTATAGAATTGATTGTATTGTTCCTATTTGCTACTTTCGAACAGATCCATATAAATCTATCTATCCTTACTTCCATTATCTTTCTAAATGATTCTTCTTGTGAAATCGTATGAAATCACTTTATTGTACAATTAGTGATATTATTCATCTCTTTTAAAATAGATTCGAATCTAACTTCCAAAGTTTCTATATTATCACCTTCGAATCTTATATTCTCCTTGTGTAAAGTGATGTTGTTTTTCCATTTGTGTGTTTTGATATTCTTCTTAAGTTAATTACTCTTAGATTTCCTATAGCATTTGGATACATTAATGAGTGATGTTTTTGTAATCATTTTTGTACTCCTGTCCTTTCAATAGGATATTAATTATTCTCCCTTCTTAATCTCTCTTAACTTTTGTATCATATTAAATGAATTTGCTGTATTTCTTTTTGTTTGATCTCTATATTTAATATCTTATTTTTAAATCCTCGTACCACTTGACATAATAGGGGAAATAATAATTTAAGTGGTCTCTATTCTTATTGATTTAATATATTGTTTTGAGCAAATCAATTATTTAATAATAACTGATTTATTTTCTATTTATATCCAATTAGTAAAAATGGTCTATTAGCATGCTAATATCCAGTACTGGATATTTCATTATGTCTTTTTTCTTTATTAAGAATTCAAACTTTAATGGTTTATGATCTGACAAAGTATTGTTATTTTAATCATATCAAAATTCTCTCCTTTATAAAAATGGTTTAAGGTTGTTCATATTCGAATTAGTCAATAAAAATTGCACATCTTTACTTGCAATTCTTGTCTCAGTATATTTGGATATTTGTGGAAATTGACTCCTAGTGAATCTTTTGAATACCTTATATGAAAATGTCGTAACTCGTCTCTTGCTCTGTCAGAATATAATGAAGAGAAGGGGTCGAAGAAAAGCGTTCTAAATATAAAAGTCAAGAATTATATATTTATTCCATAAAATAATCTAAATTTAATCTGAATACTTTAGACAAAAATTAAATATGTTAATTAAAAGTTATACACTAATACACAATCTTGGATATTGGCAAAAACTATATCTATTAGAACATTTATGAAACCTTATATTTTGTGTGGCTAAATCAAGAAATATGGTTTTAGATGCATTTTTAACCAATTATATATTCAAAGTTTAAGATCATATAATAGTCCCATGATACTTTAAGAATAGATTTCAAAATTAAAATGAAAAAGTTATTAGATCTAAATTGTTGATATATTATTTAATGGGTATTTCTTGAAAACTAATATACGCTTTGAAGAGAAAATATGGATTTTGAATTCATATTAAATAAATAATATGAATCTTTTTTGCCTTTTAGATGGTAAATGTTAATGATTTATACTTAAACTAAAGTTATTAAATAATTTTCACTTTTAAATTAAACATCATCAATGATAAGGGAGAATATAAAGGATTAAGGAATTATAAATTAATTTGGCTAATCTTTTCTTTTAGGACTGATATGAGGATTCTATTGGAAATCATGAATGTTAATTAAATTAATTTTGTTCTTCTTATCATCTAATTGCATTTATCATTTATTTTTATTATTCTTTAAGAAGTTAACTATTTTTTTTTTCAAACCATCTAAGATTTAATTTAAAATATAGAAAATCTTTAGAAGAGCAATATCGATTAGTGTTTAAGCATCTTTTTTTTGTTAAAAGAAATTAGCTTGTTATCTATTAAAATGAAGTATTTAAATAATTAAGATCTTTTCTATTTAGCAGTATATAAAAACCTTCATTATCAACAAATAAATAAGTTGATTTAAATAAAATTTTGGGAATTGATCATCCTAATTAATATTATTTTTTTGAATTGCTTTCTTGAGCTTAACTTATTAATATCTATTCTCTAATTATGATTTGATTGTTAAAATTATTATCACCTTAATATTTTCAGAAATAAGGCAAAAGCGTTTGAGCTTATATTTTAGATTATTAGAATAATTTGATATAAAATCAAAAAAAGACTTCTTCTTAATTAAAATACGTTTTAGATATACAATTTTGAATTTTAGAATCATTAATAAACTAATATAAGAAAACTTAATTATTGCTTTGAATCAGGTCCTTTTTTAATATTAATAGCATTTCTAAATTTTTTTGCCTTTCAAAATAAAATTAAGCCCTTTCCATTCGTACAAGAAATTAAAAGGAAAACACTAGAACATAATGGAAAGATGAAGATTAAGTTTATATAGCCTTATTAATCAAATCTAAGTCTCTGTCTAAAGAGGATTTGGAGTTTTGATTTAAAAAACCTAATTATGAACTCTTTTTCATATTAATTATTTTCCAACATTCATCTTAATAACATAGTTTTTCTTTGAGTTATATAAGAATGAGGATATTATATTATTGATATTTTTAGTTAATTTTATAAAAACAATTTGATAAATTATTAAACATAATTAGAATTAGTATATATGAGACTATTTTTTTTAAGATAATATTGACACTATTGTTATAAATTTCTTTTATTAAATGATCCACATATAATTTTATATTACTATCATTTGTTTAAAATTTAATATTAGTTGTCAAAACAATTTTGAAAAAGGAATCAATAAGAAAATAATACAACCAATTTTTAATTATAAAAATAGATCTTAATTCAATATGTTGTTTATTATTGATTTATTTGTGAACTTAATTAGAATGCCAATTTGTAATTAAAACCACAAAAAATTTTTGGACTGATTTAAAATATTAGAACTTTCAATAATTAGCTTCTAATGTTAAGCTTTCAGTTTCATCCTGATTAGTTATTACATAACTTATAATTCATTAATTATCTCATGAAAAATATACCTTAAATTTATTACAATAATCTTAAAGAGAATCTTTTCTTGTTTATTCATTTTTACATCTGGAGACTCTTTAAGTTTGTTTCAGATTATTCTTATTCGGGGTATACTCATTGAATATTATACTTAATTTTAGATAATGTTTGTAATTATTGTGAAAATAAATTTATTTGCTTTAAATTGAATCAAACCTTTTGGAAGGATATTCTTTTATATTTACTCTACATTCGACTAATTATATTTTAAATACTAAATTTTTTATTTAAAAAATATAATTTTGTTGCTGAGTCCTTATTGAAAACATTAAAAAGAAGTTATTTATAATATTATATAAAGTAGATTGACAAAATTATCCTTTTTCCTAATTTGTATCAATAATTAAAAGATCTTTTAATTTTAATTTTTTATCAAGATTCAATATATTTTAGTGATACTAATTGAATTTATGTTTCAACTGTTAGCACTTTATTATTTACTACTATTGATGTCTTCATTAGGAAATTTCTAATTGATATTATTTATTAAAGTAAAATTGGAAATTTTTTATAAATTATTGAACCTTTAACAATTAAATTAAAGTAATTGAAAAAATTTCTTTATAAATTATAATAAGGATATCTTCATTAAAAAATTAAATGAGCCAATTCAGATAAAACTAATAATTTTGCCTTATTATTTTATTATATTATTTTTGTTACATTAATTTAAACTTTTTATTTAATTTGGAGAGTCTAATTAAAATTTTAGTCTTTGAAAAATAAACAAATCTTTTAATAATTAATAACAATTAATATCATAAACTTTCAAAAAATATATGAATTTCTGAGATTCACCATTACAATTTAATGTTACTATTTTATTAAATTATACTGAAGAATTAAACAGATGATTATCAATTATAATATCTAATATTTATGTGTTATTCATATTTCATTGTATTTTCTAATCTGAATTTCTTTTGTACTATGATCCCAAGTCATTAAATATTACCCATCTTCACTCATACATCCATATAAATTATAATGTTCAAATTCAATGGATTATTCAGTTTTAAACTCTCCATTTTCCATTGTCCTTATCAAATTCACATATTCGCCATTCTTATTTACAAGCAGGCATTTTGATTTTATATGCTATTAAGGAAATACAAAGTAGTCATCTCCACAACCTTTAACAAGAATATCTTTAGTCTTTAAATACTATTTATTAGTATTATTCATTTCATAAACATGCATTTATTTTATCCCATTTGGTTAAAAAGTGAATACATTATCATTTATAAAGCATATTCTAAAACCATATTTTTCACCCTTTATCTTTTAGATTACAATCCATTTCTATTATGATTGTTCTATTATTAATATTTAATTATCAGATCCACATGAAATCACTTTATTCTATTGTTAATTTATACTTAATCCTTATATACTACCATTATGATCTGTGATAGTTTATTAACATAGCCATTAATGATTCTACTTCATCCAAAATTTAATAGTCTTATCAGCACTTCCTGAAATAATCAAATCTTCATTATTATTCAAAATTAAACTATATATTGAATTATTATGTCCATTTAATTTCTATTAGATAATCCATGAATTGCTTTGATTCATAGACCATATTATGATTGATTTATCATCACTTCCAGATATAAATTGATTAGATTTACTCATAAACTTCAAAGTTATTATACTATCTTAATGTTCACTTAGAAGTTGAGTTTGTTTCAATACTTCTTATTTAAATTCAAATACTTTAATTTGTTTATCACATCCAGCTATTACAATTGAACAATCTTTATTAATAGCTATTGCTTAACACTCTTAATGTTATTGAATTGAATTATTTTATAACAATTGATAATTGAATGGTTTAAATATTAATTAAGAAGATGGTTGATTAATAATTGGTTATTAAATTGAAATTTATGTTTATTTAAATTATTGAATTTGTAAATTTTAAGATTCTAACAATTTATCTTTTGATTTGATTGTTTCTTATAATGATTATTATTCAATCTTTTCTTTTTCTAAAATTTGAGTTAATTATTTTTTGAATTGTTAATTAAGACATTCTTCTTTATTATTTACTTGTTTGTCAAAAGAAATCTTGATTAAAGATGTTACTTAATGAATCAATTAATTATTAAATTATTAATTCTGGATATCTGGTGATTATAATTAAGGTAATCTATTATATTATTAACAATCTGTTGATTATTATTATTATAACTATCTTTATTTAAATAATTCATCAATATCATTTAAAGTCTAATCAATGAAAGTATCTATTCTATTGAATGATGACTAATTTTATATATAAATGACATAATTACATCTATGTTATTTTACATTTCTTTAATGCATTCCTCTATTTATTTGGATGTCTTACTAGTAAATGACTCTTATTATTAGTGCATGTTAATGATTAAAATTATTATTTATTCATTTATTCAATAAGTATGTATATCTATTAACATTTTCGATAATGCATTATCAAAAATTAATATTATATAATTATTTATTAAAAAATGATAGCTCATAACCTTAAGTTTAGTGTTAATAGTAAAAATTTATATAAATAAAATTATATCCTTTGTATTAATGCCTCAGTTTATTTCAAATATTACTTCTAAATAAGAAGCCTAAAAAGTATAATTATTTCTTCAAAAATTGTATAGATAATCATGCATCTGAAAATAAAAATTATTCCAATACAGAAACAGGAGGGATTTTTGATAGGATTAAACTTTAATAGATTACTCAAATATGAAACTGTATAAAGATAGAATTATTTTTAAACTTTAAGAATTTGAATATTTAAATAAGAAATTTCATAGTTACAGAATATAAATGTTTAATTCTATAGAAAAGTCTTAATCTTGGTTTAAATCAATTAAGCTAAAAGAAAAATATTCAATTTTTCTTATTTTAGCAATATCTACAAATAGATATTTTGGAAAATTGACTGTCTCTTTTACTTTAGGGATAAAATTATAGAGAGTTTCAATTTAATTGATATGCAAATCTATAATGCATAGAGATGTTTTCTTTTATTTTAAAATAAATTACTCTCAAATAGAGGTCTGAAGAATGAAAAAGATTGAAAAGAATAGTAGTGAATCAATTTAATTCATACGAGTTTAATTTTTTTATGATTTAAGTCATCTCATATATTAGGATATCAAAATTATTATTATTATTCTTAATATAAAATATAAAATATAACCTTATATCATAATTATTGAATAGGAATAGAAAAATTTATTGTTAGGAGATATGCCTTCTAAATTAAATCATTATGTTTAATATCAAGGGATATAAGTTTTATGAAGAATCTTGAAGTCAAATTACTAAATAAGAAGTATAAGATAACTACGAGAATTAAAAATGTTAATCTTAAAAAGAAGTAAGTTAACTTTTTTATGGTTGAAACTACTCTACATATATAAAATTGAATTTTTATCAAGATTAAATTTAGATTTTAAAGCTTATTAGTTAATAATTAAGTTGTATACCATTTAAAGGTAGAAATAATCTTTTTCAATTTTAGAATTATTGATTATATCTAAAATTCAAACGCTAAATCAATAATCATTTATCTAAGATTTAGAATTTAAAAAAATAAGAAAATTAATATAAATAACTCAATATTTTCAGAAATACAGATGAAATAATCTCATGGGTCTTCTTAAAAAATTAATAAAACAAATTGATGAAAAAGCAAGTTGTACATAAAATTATTTATGAAAAATAGTATTAAACTAATTAAATACTGTTTTATTATTTATTGGCTTCTTTAATGCTACTAACTTTAAGTATGTTTTTAATGAATATCATGAAATTTATTATTGTAATCAAGTCTAGAATTTTAATTAATTTATAAACTGTCATACACTATGAAAAAATTTTTGGAGATTGAATTTCACTTTTTATGTGATTAATAATCTTGTACATACAGTGATAATTAATTTTCATATGAATATTGAGATATCTGAAATTTTGTGTTTATTTTTATTTAATATATATCTTTAAAAATTCAATAATAAATTCATTATTTATTTGAATACTTTCATTATATCAAAGATGATTTATTAAATAATATAAATTTTCTTTAAGTTATCTTTAATCATGAAAGTTAAATTATTTAAATATAGAAAATAAAAATATTATTGAGATCGTTCTTTTAGATGAATGGAAATGCTGTTTAACATATTTATATTTGAAGTTTATTAATAATTATTATTATATAACTCATTTTTCACTTAGTTGAATTAGTTTAATAATATTCATTTTAATTACTTAAATCAAATAACTTATTTATTTCAATATTTTAAATACAAATATTTAAAAGGAAATTAAATATTCTCATAGTATAATATAATTTAAATTTCTATTAATTAATTAGGTTGCCATTATTATAAAATTATTTTTATTACCTAAAATATTAAAATAAATATATTAGTATAATTTTAGGTACTTAATTTAGGCATAAATATACATCATAACCTTTTCAAATTATGTTTTAATACTTTACTTACTTATTGAAATTTAAATTACTTTATGATTTGGTTCTGAAATTTAATTTTAAAATGAATTTATTTTTCTTCTAATTAAATGAATAGCTTTAGCCCAACAATTAAATTTAATGATGACTTTTCATTTAATTAGATAGATATTTTATTTTCGTTAATCAAATAATAATTATTTAAAAATATAATTTATTAAATTAAATGATAATATTGAATTAGATATGAAAAATTCATCTTTAGTTAATAACATCTGATATGGTAGAACTTTAAAGTATTAAGATTAATAATTAACGCCTCAAATAAGTCATCATCAAACTTATTGACTAATTATGATTAATTGAGCTCATATGTGAATTCACAATTAAGACTATTCTAAGCAACCTTAGATCTATAATGAATAGCAGAGAAGTGTTATTTTACTAATAATGAACATATTCATGTTAAATAATATCTAGTTTTACTTAAAAAGGTATAAATATACTTATAGATATCTATAATAATTTATGAATATGATAAAATTAAAAAATATTAATAGTTTTATTCATTAAATCAAACTTCATATCATCAACAATATATATAGATATCTTATAATCAATACTAGAGTATAATTAATGATGGTATAGATGTACTGAAATACATCAATACAATATGATTCTTGATTAATTAATAATACTGAAATCACATTATTAGAGTAATTTAAAGGAAGATATTTGAATATCTCTTTACTCTTTAATTAAATTCCTATTAAAACCAAAGACTTTATAAATTTAGAAGTAAACTTAAAAGTATCATGAAATTTATTAAATTAAAAGGATTATCCACATCTATTGCTCTTCAAAATAATCTCCATAAATTATAATTTTGATTACTTTTAGTTATACTTGATACCAATTTTAATTTAGAAGATTCATATTTTAAAATGTTATGATAATTAAATCATTTATTTTCATTATCTCAAAATAATCAGAATAGCATATGATAATGCTTTGATATTTAGAAATGCAATACGTTCAGTGATATACTATATTTTATTCAATAAAAACAGTTTAGTATTCTATTTCTTCATCTAGAAGCACGACTCATGTTATTTTAATTTAATTATAAAATAAAGAAACTTAAAATTCTTATTAATAATATTCATAATTAAAATATTATAAGGATTTTTTATTCTAAAATGCTTTTAGTGTTAATCAGTAAAATAATAAATATCTATTACAAATTATATGGATATCTGAATAACTTATTATATATATTATAACTAATAAATATTGAAATAAAATAATTAATTAAAATTGAATAATTGTTTTTAGATATAATAAAAAGATAATAAAATATATGAAGAATTTTAATTAGTAATTTCAAATACAGTAATTATGTAATATACTAATTTTCTTATGATGTCAGCTCTTTTGAATATATTTTTGCTGCTTCTTTACTTTACCTAATTAAAGGAGAGCGTAGAATATGAGTGTTTACGACAACATTCTAGAATATCAGGAAGTGCAAAGAGATGTGTGAGATTTCTTGGAGAATCGAAACCTTGATTTTCCTTACCTTTTGGATGAAATTCTTTTTCACTTTAGTTGCAGTAATTATAATAATATTAACAAAAGAAAGAATTCTTAAATCTGGATAAAATTGGTGGAAAAAAGGACATAGGTGAGGAATTTAGGATCTAGAGTTATCAAATACTTTTTAATGACAGAAATAATAAATAATTTGATGAGAATTCTAAGAGGTCCAATTCCAATATAGAGTAAGTACTATTTAGATTTTATTAGAAGATGTGGCAATCTAATAATCAAGTTAAGGTGATACAGGTTAAAAAAATACAATTTAAGAGAGGAGACTTTATGAAGATTTGGTTCTAGATTAAAAGTGTATCAATTTGAAAGACATAATAAAGCTATATCATAATAAATTCTACACATTATAACTTTTTGGAATCATCATGAAGTAGAGTGCTTTAAGGGGTCAAAATTATTGGACTTTGTATGGCTTATTGAAATGAGTAGATAATTTACATGAGATATCAATGAAAGCAAAATAAATAGGCACTTAAAATTATTCGTTAAGAAGGTATGTAAGACCAATAATACATTTATTTGGTTAAATTTTTGAATGGCTCTAAATAGATTGTTTGGATGTATATAGATGTGGATCAGGTCAGTTTCATTTCAAAAATATGGACTTAGAGTTTAGCGAAGAGGTGAATATATATACTCACAAACATATAATAGGAAAAGTATCTGTTTAGAATTTTTAACAGAATATTTTTTTTGAATTAATGAGAAAGAGAGCTTAGTAAGTCTTTTGAAGTTATAATTTCTTCAATGTATATTCTAATATGTTCATGATCAAATAACTTTGAAAAGGGAATGATTCATGGTTAGTCATTAAACCTTGAGTAGATACATATTTGATAAATTAGTGAAAAAGATTAAAATGAAGTTGGAGAACTTTTCAAATAAGGATAAATGAATCAAAAATAATTTTTAAGATTTTAAATTTTGTGATCTCCTTATGAAGTGACATTAATTATAAATAAATTACTTTCTGAGAATATAGCTAATCTATTAATGTAAGAAGCAAAGGAATTTCATCTTATTATTAAGAAAAAGAAGATAGAGTTAATAGGAAAATTGGAAATAGAAATTTGGCTTAGATAAATTCATAATTAAAGAGAAAATTAAGAAATATTTGATAAAAAAGAATTAAGAAATTATTCTCGAGAATAAAGATAAAGATACTATTTACTTGTATTATACTAAAAAGAGAAATAGGGATAGTAAACTTTAGGTATTAGGGATATTTAGATTTTCATTAGAAGTTTCCAATAATCTGATTATAAAAGGAATATAAGTTAATTTTACAAAATTAAAAAATCAATTATTTAAAAACAGTGATCAACTGTGTTTTAATCAGAGTGGCATTGAATAAATAGAAAAAATAAATGATAGATTGGTATTTTTAAGAATAAGAATTTATTAGAAAGCGTTAAAGAAATTCTTATTTTCCTTACAATAGGATATCGATTTGATTCGAGTAAAATTGAATTTCGCATTGAAAGAAGGAGAAAAGATAAAATAAGGAAGGATTAGGTAAAAAGAATGGAAATAGAAACTATTAAAAAATATTTATTAGAAGATTTTGAGTAAATCAGAAGAATATGCAATAGAGAAATATCATAAAAAACCTAATAATTTTTGTTTTAATTTTACTTGATATAATAAGACTTAGAGATATATCTTTGGAATGAGACATATTCCTTTGAACGAATTGCACCTAACCTAATTTAGGAAACATCAACCCCATAATAATTTAAATTCATATAACAAAATTTTTAGTATATCAATATTAGTTTAAATTTTGGAGATAGTGATAATCTGGATAGATAGGATTTGTCTCACAAATAGAAGGATTATTTAAAATGAAAAAAAGTACTATTTACAGATATATCGAATGCATCTAAAACTGTAATTAGAAAATTATGATTTGACTTAAAAAAGCAAGAGAATTGATAGATTGAGAAGAATAAGAATATGCAAAATATCTGAGGGAAGCATTAAAAAATATGTAAAAGAAAGAAAAGGATATATTAGATTGCATTCTAATAAATTACAAATATTAAGAAAATAGATACCATTTAACATTTTAGCCTTACCAAGAAATTAATACTTGTTTTTTCGCAAATCTCAAATCCTTTTTGAATAGATGTAAGTAACTCTAAATATTCTTCATTCCCTTTTAAAGTAATCAATCGATCTTTTATTTTTCATAATTTTGTTTTAGTATATTCAAAAATGATTTATGTATTTCTCTTAAATTGAATAATTAGGTCATAAGATATTACTTATTTCTTAAGTTTGTAGACTAGAATAACAATATTCAATAATTTTAGAGAACATTTTTATTTTATTAATTCAAAGCTTATATTTTATACTTTCATTAAGAGTATTTTTAGTGATATATGCATAAAAATTATATTAGAATTAGAGTAATTTAATTATTAAACAGTATAGAAGTCGAACTACTATTCCTATTAGAATTAAACTATGTTATTTTTATAGAAATTCATTTGTTGTAATAGGATATATTTATTTCTAAAAATCTTAGTCTTAATGCTTTTATATATAGAATGTTATCATGAGAGCACTTTGAGTAAAATATTTAATAACAAAGTGTAATCTACAGTTTTTATACACTAAAAATATATAAGTAATTTATTGCAAGAATGTAAACTATTAAAGTTAAAATTTTTAATTTAGAAATAAAAGGAGGGCTGTCTAAAAATAAGTTAATAATATAAATTATCTTAAGATTAAATAAGAATACATAAAAAGATTTTGTACCTAAAATTCTTAATTATTCTATATAAACTTTATTATTCTTGAAATTAATCTAATTACAACAATGTCAAGACCATTTTTAAACATCAATAATTTAATCCGAAAATAATACAATAATTTTCTTTTAACTTCATTGTATAAATCAGACAGCAACAAAAAAAATCTTTAAGGCTATAACTATATAAATATTTATATCTCAATCAATGCCAAAGATTGAAATTAGGTTTGTAAAACATCATCAAATTAAAGAGTAAGTCTTACCCTTGTAAAATATAATCTATAATATCTTTAGGCATTTTAATATTAATGCTAAATATAGATTATATATATATGACATCAATTTTAATTTTTAAAAAATTTTTCTTGAAAGTTAATATTTAAAATATACTTTGAATTAATAAGGAGATGTTGATCTAATTTCAAAAAAGATATTTTGATAGTCCTATTTTAATAGGATTTATTATCATTAAATTTTCCTATTTGATACTATTAATATCAAATAATTTTTTATGTATAGAAATTCAAGATACTAGAAATTTAAATTAC